TTAGAAGCCCTATATAGGGTCGCTATGAGTCAGAACTGACTGGATGGCACTTAACAACACAGTTATCAACAATCTATAAGGAGCCGTAGTGGGTTATGAGATGGGCTGCTAACTGCAAGATCAAATATACCAACTGACTGCTTCACGGGGAGTAAGATGAGGCTTGCTGCTCCCATAAAGATTTATAGCTTCGGAAACCATACAAAGACCTACCAGCTTGGGTCTTTGATACCTTTTGTATCTAACACTTAATAACTAATTCTAAGGACATTTCTGAACCTCTGATGCCTCATCTGAAAAAATTGGAAGAGTAATTGTGAGGATTAAATTATAAAAATCAGTTAGTATTGTGCTTTGAACATAGTAATTCAAGTTTAAGTCATATTTTAATTGGTTGGTTTGTTATGGGCCGTGGAGTCGATTTCGACTCATAGCGATCCTGTAGAGGGTACAGGGTTTCTGAGGCTGTGAATCTTTACGGGAGCAGAAAGCCTCATCTTTCTCCTGCAGAACAGCTGACCTTAAGGATGACAGCCCAATTCGTAACTACTACACTACCAGAGCTCCTGAAGGTATAATTTAAACTTGTAAGTAGTTTGAGAGCTATAAATATGAAGAAAACGCTAAATTTACCTATCAGAAAATATGTTTTGCCTTTCTGAATTTTTACCCTCAATGCTGAGATAATTGAAAGCTGGACTTGTTCACGTAAGATACAGGTATTTCTCTGACTTGTTTATGGGGTTTGAGACATACCTGTACTGTACAGATTGGAGTTTAATCTTGGCTACATGAGAATTGCCTATACATTGAAACCTTTGAGAGCTGGAATGTAATGGAACTGCATTGTTTTTCCAGCTATCAACAGTTGACCCTGGAGAGAAATTGGCTTTGGACAGGGTGTATGCAGCCTTGCCACTTTTCTGTTGCTCCTTAAGTGGAAAAAGAGTTTGCTGCCTTTGACAGGTTTCTGGCAAATAAGCCACAAAATAATGTGGAGAAATCTCAGTGCCAAATATTGCAACATTAACGAAATAACTGAGGTGGCACAAAATTGTTGAATCAATATGTTTTTGAGAAAAGGAACTATAGCAAGTTTTAAATGGTGATGATGTGTACATTGGAATTGGGGTGTCATTTTAAAGATCACTGTTGTTCAGTGCCATTCAGTCATTTCCGACTCATAGCAGCACAATGTAGGGTTTTCGAGGAGTGACTGGTGAATTTGAACTGCCGACCTTGTAGTTCAAACAGACCTTGCCGTCACCAGGACTCCAAAGGTACTGTTGTTATGTGCCTTTGAGTGGGTTCTGACCCATAGTAACTCTATAGGGTTTCCAGGGAGTGGCTGGTGAGCCTGTACCGCTGACCTTGCAGCTCAAACTGGCCTTGCAGTCTAGCACATTAACTCACAGCACCACAAAATCCTTTAAAAAAAATAACAACTTTGGCTTTCCTTTATGTAATCCTGTTACTTTGAGTGCAACTGCAAAACTGTCTTCGTGATTTTAGTATCCTTTTTTGGTGACCGATCTATAAATTATAATGTTATTTAAAAAAATGATTTGGATAGATGCTTATACATCCCCAGATCTTGTTAAAATGTAGATTCTGGTTCAGTATATCAGGAGTGAAACAACTGTTCCTAGCAGAGAGATGAAATAGAACGAACTACTTTGAAGTCCTGTTAAAAACTTACGATAGCACTGTTTTGTTAACACTTCCCTTTTGTAAAAAAATGAAAATTAGTATATGAAATATATTCAAGGCCTTCATATTGGTGTTTCAAAAACTTCAATAAAAGAAATTTGCTTTTAGTGTAAGTTTGTGTTTTTCTTAATGTAATAATTTATTGGGGAAAAAGACTAACAATATACAGTGTGGCCATCAAGTCCAACTCATAGGGATCCCTGTATAGGATTTCTAGGGAATGACTAGTGGGTTTGAAACACCATCCTTGCAGTTACCAGTCTGGTGTTTATCCTACAGCACCACAGCAGGGCTGCAGTACAGAAGTGGAAGAAACTAATTGAATATGCATACAGGCAGGTATTAAACTTCTATTAAAAGAAAAACTGCATTACACCATTCATAGATTTCTACAACTTAAAATATCTGGCCTGGATCTTTTGGGTTTATTTTGTGTGTAGATTTGAACAGTCCATGAATAATGTGAACGTGTCCTTACTGTATCTTGAAGAATTTGTGGGTCATTTGTAACAGGTACATGGTTTGCTAGTAGTGTGAATTGAGTAAATGGTATTATGTTGGTTGGATGGTTTGGTCAGTATAAGAAGGCTCCAAACCTTTTCAGTGATTTAAAAGCACCATGTGTAGCAAGTGAAGGTATTGTGATGAATAATTTGTTGCAAATATGGCTTGTTCCATAAGCTTGTTGTTGTGGTGTGCTGTGGTGTTGGTTCCAACTCACAGCCACCCTGTACAGGGTTTCCGAGGCTGTATAAATCTTTACGAGTCTCCCGCAGAACAGCTGGTAGTTTCAAACTGCTAACCGGGAGATCAGCAGCCCGATTGGTAACCACTACGCTACCAGAGGCGGTTCAAATCTACCAGCTGCTTTTTGGAAACGCTATGCAGGGTGGCTATTAGCCAGAACCTGCTCCATGACACTTAACAGCAACAACAAGAGATTGGCTCAATCTTTTTAAATTAAATAAATGTTTTATTGTGTATTGTGTGATAGTTTACATGGGGGAACATTAGTTTTACATTCATTCTATGATACATCGTTTCATTGCCATAGTTACCACCCTGTCTGTGCATCATCACCCAACCTGCAAGCCTGTACACTCCCCGCCCCCCCGCCCCGTCCTCAGCACACAGTCCCTCTCCCTCTCTGGATCTCAAGTCCTCAGCCACTCCATCTCTTCACGCCATTCTCTCTGTCTCCATCTCAGGCCTCACAGCTTCTCTGGGTGGGGTCCCAATCTCCGCTCTTCTCCAGTGATGGTCCCAGGGCCCTCTGCTCCTAGACTGAAAGGTTAATCACTCTCCTCCTTGCTATAAAATATCCACCTTTACATTTCCAGTCCTCACAATCAGTCCTGGTAACAATTATTCACCATTGTATCCCAAGAGACCCATCTGCATTTCTTTTCATCAGCCTTTCCTAGACAGGTTGAGTACTACTCACTGGAGAGTCTACCATCCTCCCTGCCCTGTGGATCTAGGTTCCCTCTTGAAAGCTTGTAAGCCAGTCACTTCTTACCTTTGTTTCCCTCCCCACATTTTGGGTAGCCAATGTTCAAGTTGCCCATCCCTGTCTACTCTTTGTGTGGAGGGAGTGGGAATAATTCTTGGAGCAGGGATTTGTTTCCTCTTTTGAGCTTCTGCATTTATAGGTGCAGGTCAAGTTTATCAAGTTGTATCAGATGACGCTTTTTTTTTTTTTTTCCTCTTCTTTCTTCGGGTTGAGCTCTGTTCATCCAGTCATTGAAGCCAGGTCAAGTGGGTATCATCTGCAAGTGTGGATGTTCTTGTATCTGTTTGCCCTCCTCTTATCAGCTGGTTAAAATGAGGACAAACTTATATATAACAGTAAAGCAGGACTAAAAAGTCATGGTGTCCTGCCCAAAGATGGTTGCTGGCTGCATCAATTGTGTGACTCTAGCCCTGCTAATAATCCACTCTCATATCAACTATTATTGAAAAGGGCTCACAACACCTCTTCAGAATAGTCTATTCCAGGACTTGCACTTGTCATTTTCCTGTTTTGATTACTGTGATGAATCACCAAATTGTAAAAATTCTGGACACAACCGATTCCAAGCTATGAGTCGGAACTGACTCAGTGGCACTTAATAACAAGAAGGAGTTGCACTGTATACTTTGTTTCTAAATGGTAGTATCAAGCCCAGTTGACCTGAAAGTACTGTACTGTAGTCATCAGAACTTCTCAAGTATTTTAACTTGATTTTAATTGTATTTGAACTTGTTTAAAGACAAATTTATGGAATCCAGGTGTGTGTGGCTCTGTGGATAAACACTGGTCTGCTAACCAAAAGTTCGGTGGTTCAAACCCACCAGCTGTTCCTTGGAAGCCTTATACAGGGTGGCTATGTGTGAAGATTTGGAATGCAGTGCTTACTCTATTAAAATATATTTTGGAAAGAATAAATCTGATTCTCAACAGGAAGAAATGGGAGAAAGGGTTGGATTAGTGAGCAAAGAATAAGGTGTAGGAAGTTTCCGTTTCTAAATAGATCTGAAGGGAGTCCTGATAGTGCTATAGGAGAAGTGTTGGGTTGCTTACCACAGAATTAGTTGTAGGTTCAAACCTTTCAGAAGCTTCCCTAGAGAGAGAGAAAGCTCTTCTGCTCCTATGAAGATTGAAGGATTGGAAACCAGCCAGCAGCTTCTTGAAAGCCCTATACTGGGTTGCCATGAGTTGGAACCAACTTTATGGCTCTTAGAACAACAGGGTATAGTTACATACCGTTCAGCCCCTCACGTACCATCGTGATCTCCTTACCTAAACTGTACTCTGTAAATAAAGGAAATTATGTTTATTAATCACAAACTTTTTTATTCACTTATTTTTATGTGTTCTCTGATTCAGTTTCTAATTTGTCATTTTTAAAATGGCATTTCATAAAATTAATAAGGATTGAGGGTTGGAAGAGATCTAAGATAACTTGATTCAGGTCCTTATTTTATGACTAATTTCTCTGGCTTCAGTTTCCAAAAGTACCTGCTGGAAGGCATTCAGCTAGGTTTTGGTAAAGCTTAGAGACAAGAACCTGAGTGAGCCAGGTACTGCCTTTCACTACTACGTGCTACACTCTAGATGTAAAAAGAAAAATGGAAAAGCTTTCTGTAGGAAATTGTACTTTGATTTTGTGGGTGAGAAATAGGTAAATTCATTTGTAACTATTTTTGCCAGGCTATGAACGTTTACTTCTAATTATAAATTTATTGTAAAATGATTTCTTAGTTTGTGTTTTTGTCAAGATTTTAAAATCTAAAATGTCATCTTATAGTTGGATTGGATGCTGCTGGAAAGACGACAATTCTTTATAAACTGAAGTTGGGAGAGATAGTCACCACCATTCCTACTATTGGTAAGAAAGTTGAAAAGTGACTTTTGTCATAATAATATATTGCAAAGTAAAAATAGTTTAATGTTGAAAGACATACTTTTTGAAACTGCCTTATTATTTAATTTATTGAGTATCCAGTAGGACTTTAAAAAAATTATAGGAGAATTTCATAGTTCAAGGGTTTGTTTTCTAAATGAAATTTTACTGTATTTAGTGGTAATTTTTTGTTTTTCTTTGAAGGTTTTAATGTGGAAACAGTAGAATATAAGAATATTTGTTTCACCGTATGGGATGTTGGTGGTCAAGATAAAATTAGACCTCTCTGGAAGCATTATTTCCAAAATACCCAGGTAAGGAGTGCTCTATGCACTATTATAACTTTGTTCTATGCACTAATGCTTTTATTATGCATCTATAGTGCTTACTAGGATGTTGGGGTTTTACTGTATGTGAGTTAGCATTATCACTACTGTCATATTCTTTAGTGGACTCTGTCATCAGGACTTTGAAGGCTAAATTATCTGGGGTGAAAGGCTTACATGATGATCATACAAGATTTTGGAAGATGTGGAGAGGGATGGGGTAGGTAGTGGGTGTGGTGTAGTTCTCAAGACTGAATGAAGTGTCTCATCAGTTTTCTGAATGGTTTCCTTCTTAGTTTAGAAAGTAAGGTCTGTATAACATTCTGCTTCTGGTTTATTTAATGAATGTAAAACAATTTATTTCACGCACTTAGGTTCTTACTGTATCAAAAATATGTCAAGGTAGACTTAGTAAACTAGATCTGTAGTGTTGATTTGTAAGGTGTTGTATATTATGTTGTTGTTAAGTGTTGTTGAGTCAGTTCCGACCTGTAGTGACCCTTTATAGGGTTTCTGAGGAGCTGCTGGTGAGTTTGAACTGCCAACCTTGTTGGTTGAACTGACCTTATGGTCGAGTGTTTATCCTACAGTGCCACACCAGGACATCATATTATCATGTAGCATTAGATATGCTACATATTACCAGGTAGCATATATAATACTAATCTTTCATGTGGGAGGTCTGGTTTGATTTCCAACCATTCAAAGTATAGCCACCCCGGTCTATCACTAGAGGCTTGCATGCTACTATGATGCTGAACAGGTTTCAGCAGAGCTGTCAGACTGAGATGGATTAGGGCAAAGGCTTTGTGAACGAGCCAGCCAATGAAAACCCTAGAGTAAATCCTGGTCAGATCTTGATGAGTATGAGATCGCCATGAGTCTGGGGTTGACTTGATGGGAAATGCAGCAGTGTATAAGAGGGGCTTTTAAAAGTTTGTGGAAAAATGGAATTAAAAGATACTGTAATTTTTCCACAAGCATTTTGAAGCCATCTCATGTAATATATGGGGAGCACCAATAACAATAGGATAAGCACTGGGTTGCTGACCCCAAGTTCGGCAATTCAAATCCAGCAGTCACTTCATGGGAGAAAGATGAGACTTTCTGGTCCCATATGATTTACAGCCTTGGAAATTGTATAAATGGTTGCTATAAATCTGAATAACAGCAACAACATATAATACAGGTATGGAAGAGACTTTTAATGATTCTATAGAGCAGAGGGTCCCAAATTTGGCAGCATGTTAGAAATTCCTAGAGCAATTAAAAATCTTAAAGCCCAGATTATATAGCTCCAGCTAACTTAAATCAGGATCTCTGGGAATGTTAGTCAGGTATCATTATGAATCACCTGGGTGTCTTGTTAAAATACAGATTTTGACTCAGCAGGTCCTGAGATTCTGCATTTCTAGCAGGTTCTCAGGTGGTGATCTTGCAGTTAGAGGTTCAGTGGTTATCCTATAGCACCACACCAGGATGCGGTTTAAGTAACATGTCATGTTGATTTGCGCAAGTTGTTAAGTGCCTTTGAGTCAGTTCCTGTATAGCAAACCTGTATAGGGTTTCCTAAGCTTTTAAAATCTTAGGGGTAGAAAGTCTCATCTTTATCCTGTGGAGCACTGGTGAGCTTGAACTGGGGACCTTGTGGTTCACATGAGTCCAGTGCTTATTGTATGGAGCCACCATGCTCCCTGTTAAATAAGTGGCATGCTTTATTTTATTAAAAAATTAACATGTCCTGTCTTAGCTTATAATGGATTGGATTATATAAAAGGGGTCTAGAATGTACCTAGGAAAGCAGGCTTCTTGTTAAGCTTTGATGGACGTGGGGTCTTAGGTTGAATCCTGCGCCCCCGCTCAGAACCTTCTGAGGTAGGACATTCCCAGTTGAAAAGACTTGCAGACCAACCTGGAATGGCTACAGGAACAGAAGATACTTCTTGAAAGAAAGACCAACAGGGGGAGAGGAAAAAAATAAACTAAAAAAGCAGACTGTTTGGCTGTGACAATATCAAGTAATCTGTTTGTCCTGAAGCCATCAAGGCAAATATAGCCAGCCCATCAGTATAAACCCCTCTCTAAGACTGACCCTCAAAGGGAACACACAAACAGTCTTGTATGCTCACTGGCAACCGGACCGTCCTGGTCAACTTGTGAGTGTGAGTTGGGGAAATGCCCCAAAGAAGTCATGGGCAGATACTAGCCATAATTCCATAGATGTCCAATGACCTTGAGATGGATGATCTGGCTGGTTTTGAAGTTCAGGGAGGTGTGTGAACTCCCATGCCCAAAGACACTGACCTAGCCCCTGGGGCCTAGAGTTTAGAATGAAACAGCCAGCTGATCTGAAGAGTGGGTGGGGAGTCATGTGAGAACTCCCAGACTTTACAGCCGTACCCATTTGACCTAGCATGGATGACTTGCCAATCAGAATTCGACCAGATGAAGATAAAGAAAGTATGATACAAGGAGCAAGTGTAAATTGCTACAACCTGATCAGCTGGACCTTTGCTTATGAATGAAACTGCTCAAAATCCCAATAGAATAGGGAAGAATTCTTCATATCAAGGATCAAGCATGTCTCTTCAGTACACTGGGTCGATAGGGATGGGCAACTTAGACTTTGGCTACGAAAATCGGTGCGCTATAAAGGCACAAAGTGACTGGCTTACAAGCTTTCATGAGGGTGTTTAGTGTCAGAATGAGAGGAGTAAGACAAACCCCACTGAATAATTTTCCTCTTGTTCAGATGGTGATGAGGGGGACAGGACTTTATGATGCAGGTGTGAGTAATTGTTTTCAGGCCTAATGGTGATGGTCACAACTGTAAATGTACAAGAGGTGCAACTAAAAATGGGGAGCAGTTAATCTGTCATTTCAGGAAAAGGGGACCCTAGGACCATCAAGAGGGAAGAATATGAGAGGAGCAAGGGATCCTAACTGGAAAAGTGGTGACAACAGAGATGGTAGCCAAGGCAATGGCATAGAAAGACAAAGTTGCAGTGGATTTTAGGCTCTTGGACTAAGAAAAGCAACTTGCCTGTGGGCAGGAGGCTGGCTTGCAAAATGTGCCCTTTGAGACATTTAAATGAACATATGTTTACAATGCAGTATGTGTGCATCAACAATAAAAAGGGTAATAGAGGTAAATACTGTTGGCCAGGGGTACATGGAGGGGTTGTTATCATTACATTGATTTGCTGAATGCAAAACTGGTGACTCAATACACAATAAAAGCTTTAAAGTAATAATAATAAAGCGCAGCAGCAGGAAGCCATGCCTTCCCAGGCTGCTCATGCTGTATGGAGAGATATAAAATATAAGTTCTCAGAGAAGCAGATGTTTAAAGGAAAGAAACTGACCTTCCCCTGCAATAGGTACATGAATTTCAGTAGGCATAAGTACATGAAATGATGTCATATATCTGTGTGTATCTGCCATTGAGAGATTCTTGACTAAGATGATTCATATCATGTGGAATTTGGCCATTTTCTGGAAAGCAGTGAGAGAGCTATGAGTATCTGGAAGCAGAGTAAAGGGTGCCATTGAATTTTTGCTCCATTGGATGTCATTGGGGGATTGTGAGGAAGTAACTCTAGGTTTAGATGAAAATCAGACCACAGCCTTTGCTGTAGGTTGCACCTCATTGTAAAGAAAACAAAATCCTCACAAATAAACAACATCCATATAAATGGAAAAAAGATTGAAGTTGTAAAAGACTTCATTTTGCTTGGATCAACAATCACCTATTGGAAGCAGCAGTCAAGAAATCAAATGATGGATCGTGTTACTCAAATCTGCTGTACTAGAACTCTTTAAAGGTGTTTGAGAGTAAAGATGTCAGTTTCAGGACTAAGATGTGTCTGACCCAAGCCATGGTATTTTCAGTAACCGCTGAAAGTTGGACAGTAAATAAGGAAAACCATAGAAGAAATGATTCATTTGAGTTGTGGTTTGGGAGGAGAATATTAAAAGTGCCCTGAACTGCCAAAAGAACAAAAGTACAAACCAATCTGTGTTGGAAGAAGTACAGCCAGAATTCTCCTTGGAAGCCAGGATGGCCAGACTTCGTCTCTCATATTTTGGATATATTATCAGGAGGGATCAGTCCCTGGAGAAGGATAGCATGTTTGATAAAGCGGAGGGTTGGAGAAAGAGAAACACCTGCAGCAAGATGGATTGGCATAGTGGCAGAAGCAGTGGGCTCAAACATAGCAGTGATTATGAAGTTAACACAGAACCAGGCAGTGATTCTTTGTTCTGTTGCATATAGAGTCATTATGATTTGGTACTGACCCAGTGGCACATAACATCAACAACAACTCTGATGTTGTTGTTGTTAAATACCGTGGAGTCGGTTCTGACTCATAGTGACCCTGCACAGGGTTTCCGAGGCTGTAAATCTTTCTCCCATGGAACCACTGGTAGTTTTGAACTGCCGACCTTGAGGTTAGCAGCCTGATTCATAACCACTACGCTACCAGAGCTCCTTCTAGATCAGGGTTGGGGAACCTTTTTTCTGCCAAATTTTATAGCATCATTTGCATGGCATACTAAATTTGGTCAAACATTAAAAAAAAAAAACAGCTCAACTCCAAGTGTGATGGCTAGAATAAGACACCTGTGGTTGTCTTTACATGGCAAGACCACTAATGCTTTTGCAGGTTCTATGACCCACTAGCCAGACATTCTCTACCTCTGCTCTAGACAGAGGTAAAGGAGAAAAGTACAAACTCCTGGGCCCATCCTAAACTTCCAGCTTGTTGTTGTTGTTAAATGCCATTAAGTAGGTTCCAAGGAGCGGTTAGGGGTTTTCAGCATACATCCTTGCAGTTAGCAGTAGTGCTTCTCTTACAGCACCACACCAGAACTTCTGACTCAGATATATGGCTTTATACTATCTTTGGGGTACCATTCAATTCAGTATTACAAAGTGTAAGATAACCCGTGTAGCAGGCAGGTGATTGATTAGTCAGTAACTTCTTACTTACCATTATGATTGAGCATATAGTATGTGCCAGTTACTGTTCTTAGTCTTAGAACCGTGAGGAAATTTCAGCCCTCATGGAATTTTGTTTGGATGGCGATTATCAAAAAAGCACATGATGACAAGTGTTACTGATTATTTGGGGGAAAAATGGAATCCAAATACACTGCTAGTTACAATAAAAAATAATGTAGCTACTTTCTTAAAAAAAAGTTAAAATGTTTATTAACATAGATGTTTAGAAAAGGTGTTTTTTGATACAGTCACATGCTTAAGATTATTGACAAAACTCCGAAAAGTAAAGAGAATAGTTTAACATAGTCCAAAAATAGTTATCAGCCAACTTGAGGCCGATATTGTTTTATCTATGCGTTTGTCTAATGTGCTCCACTCTCTAGATTATTTTTAAGTAAGTCATAAGGAGCCATGTGTATGGTACATGTGAACTACTGACTTTTGATTAGCAGCTGAGCACTTTAATAACTTTACCACCATGGCTCCTTGGAGTAAAGTTAGGTATGAGGTAGAATGTTGTTAATCCTAAACCTTGTAAAGTCTAATCAGACTTTGTTTCCATTGCTCTGTGACTTACTTTTAGTTCTGGAAATTGGACCTATTCTTGGCCTTGTGGACCACCTAAGAATTAAAAGCGCAAGTGTTACCTGATAGTAATATCAGAAAGGCTCTTAGCTAGCTTTTCTAGCATTCCTGATCAGTTCTCTAGGTATATAAAATTTAAGAGAAACTAATTACAGCCATTTGCCATTTTTCTAATTTATACTGATGTTTCTAGTAGTAAATTCCACTCACTTGTTAGAAAATTACAATTTTTGCTGTTCTTTTTTTAAGTAATTTTTTTTTTTTCCTTATACTACCCAACTTTTCTTTAGAAGTCTAGCTTTTTTATAATCTTGATCTTGGGCTATCCTAGAAAGGGAATAATTTGGAATTCATTCTTAAAATTTCCTCCTCAACAATATTACTTAGAGACTGGTGCAGGATTTACATTTTAGAGTAGAATAAAAATAGAATGTTATAAGTCAAGAAAAAACTGGAGAGGCATTGCTCTATATTACAGATGTGGGGGGGTGGGGGTATGTTCTGAAAAGAAATTTTGGAAAAGGAGGAGACATATAACTTGCCATGTTCCTAACATGATGCATGCTAGATCCTTTTGTAACTTCCATGATTGTATTTAATCCTTTAACAGTCTTAAAAGGTTAGTGCTTTTATTTTTTAGAAGGGGAATACAAGCTCAAGGATTAGGTAAATTATAAAACTAATTAAGTAATGCTGAGTTGTGGATTTGGGTCTGTCTATCCATCACACCAAGGAGCTCTGGTAGCATAGTGGTTACGAATCGGGCTGCGAACCTTAAGGTCAGCGGTTCGAAACTACCAGCCGCTCTGCGGGAGAAAGATGAGGCTTTCTACTCCGGTAAAGATTGACACCCTCGGAAACCCTGTACAGGGTCGCTATGGGTTGGAACCGACTCGATGGCACTTAACAACAATAACAATCCACCACACCAAGAATTTTATCAAAGGACAGGATGTTTAAAATGTTGGTTTTCATAAAGATAACAGATTTGGTTAGGAAATTTGCTTAGGCCAAAGGAAATTAATGTCATTTAATGACTGTTGCCTAAAATAAGTATGAAATGTCTCTGGCAAGCTCAGTACTGTGTGGTTAACCAACGTAACTTATAGCACAAATCAGTTTGTGATAGCATGAGAAGTGATCAGCAATACTTTAGAGGTTCGGGGGTGTGTTGAGAAGAACATTGGAGTCAGTTTCAGTGCTTACATGATTATAATTTAACAAAGTCTTTATGAAATGAAATTGCCATCTCACTCTAGCTGAAAATGTGCTTTCCCTATTTGAAAACTTTTAGAAAGTCTTAATTCAGCTTAATTGCTTCTCAGTGTCATTTCTTTTATACGATAGAGTATAATTTGTTATGTGATAAATAGTTTGAACTTTTGTTTTGACACTTCCCTTGATCCTAGAGTTGGCAGGCAACATGTTTTTCTTTCCTGGTAAACATAAAAACTACTATAGCCCACCCCCTTTTCTTTTTTTAATTTATTATATTTATACTGTATGCATACCTTTGGAACCTTAGTTTTTCCTTTTGTCCCTACTGTATGGCCACTTTGTTCTTACACTTTCCTGCACTAGGGAACATTGTTGTCATTGAGTAGCTTCCCGACCCATACTGACCAGGTATAAGGGTTTCCGAGGAACAGAGCTTATAGTTCAAACCGACTTTGCAGTCCACCGCATTAACCCTGGTGCCACACCAGGGTACTAGGGAATAGGACACAATTAATTCTTTAGCATTGTTGAGAGTAGTCAGTTGGGTAAGATATCTTTTTAGATTTAAATAAATGAGTTATTTGAATGACAAGTACTGCTTAAATCAGTTTCAGTTTTTAGAGCCTTGAGTTATTTTTTGGAGACACTTTCTTCCTTCTAACCCTGAATATGGTTTTGTTGCTTGTACTTATTTTCATACTAATGAGTCCTTTAAATCTAAAGGTTGTAACTTATTGAAACCATTTTTCTGCAGGGTCTTATTTTTGTGGTAGATAGCAATGACCGTGAAAGAATTCAGGAAGGAGCACAAGTCCTGCAGAAAATGGTAAGTTTTATATTTGAAATTATTTTCATTTCTAAGGAGTTTCTGTGAGTGACAGTGGTAACGTTAGTGTTTGGTACATAACTATAATTAGATTACATAAATGAATTTGTTTTTAAGATTTTGGAAGAACCCTGAGGAGGATCTATAATCCACAGGTTCTTAGAAATACATATAAACAATCTGTTAAGAGTGCTTTTTTAAAAACACATGGAAGAATAAGTAAGTTGGAGTAAAATCCTACCTAGTTTTTAGAATGCTTGGTGAGTGATTCTGATGCATTTATCTGGTTGGGGATGTCTGATTTAGTTGACTCCTTTATTTTATAAAGTCTAGAGTTTGGAAGTTGTCACTTTTCCCCAAAGATGATCAGGTTCAATTTTCTTCAAGGTATTCCTGTAATGACATTAGGAATGCTCTGTAACAGCAACCATTAATTATAACGAACTCTACCTGGTGGTAATGGCATTTTGATTTACAGTGGCATTTTGGCCTTGCTCGATATTAATGTTTTCGCATATTCGTACCATTTTTAAAAAGTTGGAAGGGAGAGAAATGGTCGAGGAACACTTTTAGAAGACCTTTATTATAGTTCAAAACTGGTAGCTATAAAAATATTACCGAAATGAATACTTCACTGCTCCTAAGGCTGAAAGTGCAGCTTGTACAATGAGTGTGCCAGTATATGTGTAAATCACCCAGTACTGTTTTTTCTTAATGAAAAGAATGTCACCAGTTTCTTTTTTTTTTTAAACAGCTTTATTGAGACATAATTCACATACCATAAAGTTCACCTGTTTAAAATACACAAGTCAGTGGCTTTTGGCATACTTATAAACTTGTAAGACACAGCCTAATTTTAGAAAGTTTTTATCACTCAAAGCAGCAGTTACTCTTCATCACTGTTAGCTGTCAGTCTTCATCATCTTTTCTATTACAACCTGGGCATCCACTAATCTGCTTTCTGTCTCTGTAGTTTGCCTATTCTGTACATTTCATATAAATGGAACCATATAGATCTTTTATGAGTGGCTTCTTTCACTTAGCATTATTTTTCAAAGTTCATTAGTGTTGTATTAGGTGTTAGTTCGTCATTCCTACCAGTTTCTTCTCTTGCTACTATTGCATGTCCCATTTTTCTTGATGTTGCTAAACCCCCAAACCAAATTTATTGCTGTTGAGTTGATTTCAACTCCATAGTGACCCTATAAAATAAGTACAACTGCCCTTTCGGGTTTCCATTGTTTCAGGAAATGCTTAAGAGTGGTGTAGGAAGGCTGGGAAAGTACAGATTTGATTGGCTTGAGAAAGTCTTCATTTACTTGAAGACATACGATTGTTTGCTGTAATTTAAAACTAAAGGATATGAAATTTGTTAAAAGAGTACCTGAACCTTTATGTAATTTTAGGTTGATGTTAAGTAACATCAATAATGATGTTCAATAAATGGAAGATAGTGTTTTCCTGTTATATAACTGGATTTCAACTTGATAGTTGTTAATACCTTAGCTTGTATTTTCCAGCTTCAAGAAGATGAGTTGCAAGATGCAGTATTGCTGCTTTTTGCAAACAAACAGGATTTGCCAAATGCTATGGCCATCAGTGAAATGACAGATAAATTAGGTCTTCAATCTCTTCGCAACAGAACAGTAAGTATTTGGAGGTTTCTACTAGCCTAGTCTTAAGTATTCAGTTTAAGCATTTATTAATTAACTAATTATACCATTTGAACAGATAACAAACAGCTTTTAGAAATACAATAATGTACTCTTGTTTACATAAAAATGGGCCATTTCAGACTTTGTTATAATGTTTAGTATAGATAACAGTGGAAAACTGTATTGTAGGAGAATTGGAATATTTAAAGACTTGATATTCTTAACTTTTAATTTGTATCTGTATAGCTGTACAGGAAATGTTTTAGATGTTTAATATTATTTGTTTGCTCGTTAATATCAAAAGCTCTTGGAGGTACCCTTAATTATATTAAACTAGATTCTAAAGTTTTTGGTATACAAGGTTATAACAAATGTACTTGCTCTCAGCTTATCACTGATTAGAATATTGGTGTAAAACAGTATTCTTTCTAAATTTGTAACAATATATACACATATATATATGCTTTATATATAATCCAATTGCCATCAAGTCGATTCCAACTTGTTATGCTTTAAGTGACCTTGTATAAGGTTTCCGAAGAGAAGAGGGTGAGTTTGAACCGCCCACCTGGTGATTCAAACTGACCTTTTGGTCCAGTGCTTGTCCTACAGCACCACACCAGGACTCCATTTCTGACTCATAGCTTGACACACTATAAGGTTTCTAGGGCTATAAATCTTTACAGGAGCAGAAAACCTCTTCTTTCTCCCACAGAGCAGCTGGTGAAGTTGAACTGCTGACCTTGTGGTTAGCAGTCCATTGCTTATCCTACAGTGCCACTAGGGTGATGTCTCTCTGTCTATATATATTTATAGACATAAACAATTAGTGTGTTGCTTTACAGTAGTCTTACACTGACTTGTCATCAAGGCAAATACTGTGCCATGGCAATAAATCATTCTAGACTGACATGTCCCAGACTAATTTAAACAAGATAACCTGTGATGTTTTCCATGTAAAACTGTTTTCCATATTACATGATTTCATGTTAGTTGGAACTTTATGGTATATTATGCAATTATTAGATATAAAAATTCATTGTCATTCTTAGAAGCACAACTTTTTTTTTAATACATGAGAATAAAAACAGTGAAATTATCTGTAAAGCTTGCTTTGCCCTTAAACTATCAACAGCTCTCCTACTCTTTAAAACAATTGCCTCTTCTACTTTGAAGTTAGTTTTATAAGAAATAAGATTAAAAGAATCCAGTGGGTAGTTTTATCAGTCACTGAGTTTTCCATGAATGTTCTCTTTAGATTAAGTCGTGTATGATTAAGTGTAATGAATAGGTAGGAGTAGAATGACATACAGAATTTTTTTCTTCTTATTGTGAACTAGGACATAGGAGAAGACTTCCAAACCTCTAAAGGGTAGATAATTTTGAGTGATCTGTAGCTTGTGAAATTACTTAAATATAATATTATTTGTTAACTGAATAAAACACTGACATGCTCACACATACTTATTCCTGTAGGTACACAAGGAAATTTCATAGTTAAATTTGTATTTCATTTTTTTCACAAACTTTTTTGAAGCTCCTTTTGTATATATGCATCTATTCTCATATACATTTATGGTAACTGGTAACATATAATGGAATTTGGAGGAGATGCTTAATTTTTTGATTAAGAAATTTTGTCCTTGGTGTAATCAACTGTGTGAGACCAAATGGTAAACATTTACCCAAAAGCAAAGATGACAAGGAGAAAGAGTCAGGGAAAGTAGATAGATGAAAATAATACAGGCTGGGTGGACCTGGTTAGTTAAGAGTTGACATAATTTGGGGTTTGTAGCCACTGTCTTGGAACAATTTGTGTATGAATTATTGAATGGGAGTCTAATTGTGTAAACTGTCACCTAAAACAGTAAAAACACCTTTTAAAACAGATTTTAAACACTGGTTATACATAGTCTTTTTAATCAAGTCTTTTCTTGTTGCCCTTTCTTTACAGTGGTATGTTCAAGCCACTTGTGCCACACAAGGAACTGGTCTGTATGAGGGACTTGACTGGCTGTCAAATGAGCTTTCAAAACGTTAAATGAAACACAGGATATCTAACCAAGGACATATTTGATAGAATTGGCCTAGGCTTGTTACAACAAAATTAGTTTGCATCTTGGTTATTAAACAGTATATGGGCCTGGTTTGGGGCAAAATATTACAGCTTCTAAACTTACTTTGTTGCCAATTATTGTTCACCAAGTAGAATGTTGCTGTTTAGCAATAAGCTTGGTTTCAAAGAAATTCACCTTAACTTGGGGGAAAAAGTGTCCTCATTATACTTCCCTTAAGCCTAAATGCCTGGACATACCTTTGTGACATCTTTAAATAAATCCGTTTTGAATGTCTTTTTTTTTTTTTTTTAAACAAAATGTTATTATTTCATAAAAGAAGTAATTTCTGTATTAAAAAAAAATTAGGTTTTAGCACTATATTATGCATGCTCCACCTTGTTCCAAAAGATATTTAATGTATTTTTTTCCCAAAATTTTATTTATTTTGTTGTTGAAAATATACACAGCAAAACATACACCAATGAACAGTGCTCATTTTGAATTATCTTTTGATCCCAAAACAAATAATGTTTTGAAGTTACTCTCTTGCTACTTTACTCTCATACCTTTATCATTCCTGGGACAGTCTGCTGATTTAAAATATAGCATTCCATTTGTATTTATTTCTCTCCTTGCCAAAAAGATTTTCTAATACTGCTTGTGCCAGCCAGGGAAATGCTCCAAAACACTAGTCAGATCTCTTGCACTGAGTAACTCCTTCCCCTCTCCTCTCATTATTGACTCCTGGCTTCTGTTAGCCAAACTTAATGTTGGTGTGGTTTGAAATTGATAGCTAATTAGTTCTGTACTGGTTGCAAAGAATTCCTTTTGAGGTGGTTTTTAATATTCAGCAGATTGTCTTCTTTTTTATTGAAACTTTTTTATGTTGCATGTTGCTTTTGGCATCAGCCTGACATTTTGCCCGGCATAATAGTACTGCTGATGTTTTTTTGATTACTGGTGAACATATCTTCAATATGAGTTTTTGTAAAACTCATTGAACTCACAAAGTTTCTTCATAACCCATTTGGAATCATTCCGAATAAAATGATAAAACGTGATTGTGTGTGTTATTTTTGAGTCTTGAAGATATTTGAAGTGGATTTTCTTTTTAGCAAAATTAATTTGCATACTTTACATACTGTGAACAATAATATAGATCTCAGTAGGTTTATTAATTGTTTAAATTAGACACAAAATATGGGTTGTTATGTGTATAACAGTGGGGACCAACTTAAAAATTTCTCTCTCTTTGATAAAATATGATTTTGATACTGTACATTTGTAAAGTCAAATCAAGGAAAGCTGTAATAAAATGCACTGCCCAAAAAGCATGTATGTACGTATGTGTTTGTTTCACAGCTAACATTCATTTTTAAAAAATCAAGTGGTTTGCACTGGAAGAAGAATACACACACTGCTGGTGATATTACTCTTGTGCAAAGTCAGTACAAAGTTCACAGGCACCTTTCTTTTAACTTTACAAATTTCAGAATGTCAGAAGAAAGGCGCCCAAGTTTTGTTTTTGTTTTCCAAACAGCTATCTAAGGCAATAAAGGTATATATACTACTCACATCAACTACTTTATTAGGTTATTATGGATTCGACTTGACGACCTATGAGTAAACTTTTTTTAATGATTCTTAATGGTTTGTATAAATTTGGTTAAGATTATGGATTGAAAATTTATTTCTACAACCAAGTACATACTGGTAAAAAATATATTTTGAAAGATTTGTATGAAAAAAGAACCTACAAGATTCAGCGAAAGGAAATTGGGATTAAGTAGTTGGTAATTGTCAAAATCATGTTATTGGGATCAAGTATAGCTTCACTTGTGTCACTTGTGGACTTTTGTCTTTCCTAAGCCAACCAGACGAATTTTCCTCCTTTCTTCCTCTCCCCTCAATAAAAAAAATGTCTCATTTCTTGTTGGATAAAAGAAATATGGTGCAGTATATATATATGGCTCGATAGGGAAAGCATTGGACTGCATACAACAAGGTTGGTGGTTCCAGCCCACCAGCCTCTGTCAGAAAGATGAATGTTTTGGTACTATAAAGTCACTGAGTTAAAACTAACTCTATGGCACATATCATATGTAGTTTCAAAGGATGTTAAAGAAAAGACAGGAAATTTCAGTAGCCTCAGTGTAATTAAATTGTCACACTTAATTTTAAAAGCTAATAAATAAATTGAAGACGCTTTCATGCACTCTGAGGGGCGTTTGAAGAGAATTCCATATAATCATACTTGCAGTATGAACCAGATCTTAAAATTATCATCAGAAATGACATCATTAAAAAACTCTAATTGCCAAAAAACCCCCACAAAACTCTAATTGCCTAATTTCTGTTAAAACAATTTAAAAATTATTTTCAAGATTATTCTGTTTAAAAAGTTATGGTTAACTGATGGTGGGGAAGAACATTTTATCTACAGAAAATACTCTTTACTCCAAGTAATAGTATTATTTTCTTTTAAAACCAAATAGAAAATATCCCTTTACTTCATCTCTCCACTCTACAACAGAAGTAAGTGATTAAATGCTTTGGGGAAAAGTATATACTGAGTTAACCTCTAGAATGTGTTTGAACATCCATGCAATACAAACAAGGTCCCTCCATTGACCTGATTTTTGAAATGTTCCAGTATTTATTAAATACTTGGCACTGTCAAGATTCATTGCTTTTACTGTTCACTCAGACATTAAAGTCTGTTAGTTGTGACCTCTCCTACAGGACGCAATATAGTAGCCCTTAGATTAAGAAGTATTTTGTCAAATTTGTTAAGAGGGAGTTTGGTGTGGTGCTGTTGTAAGATAAACACTGGACTGTGAGGTTGGGGGTTCAAAACTACCAACCTCTCCTTGCAAACCATTCTATACAGTGTTACTATGTGTCAGAATTGACTATGGCAACAACAACGATAAAGAAAAACTAAAGAGGAATTGTGATTCCCTTAAGTTTATTAGCAGCAGCAGCACTGGGAATAGACCATGTTTATCTGTTGTCTTTCTGCTCCCATAAAGATTTACAGCCTTGGAAGCCCAGTTCAGGGTCGCAATGAGTCAGAACTGACCACGGCACATTACAACAACATTCTGCTGTGGTTCTGTAGGATCAACACTTGATTGCAAACCACATGGTTGGCAGTTCAAACCCAACAGCTGCTCCTTGGAAACCCTATCCAGTGGCTATGAGTTGGAATTGACTTGATGATACTAACAATATACCCCTGTTCAAGGAGCCCCGGTAGTGTAGTGGACTGAGTTGGGCTGCAAACTGCACGCTTAATCCTTTGAATCTACCAGTTCCCTGGGAGAAAGATGAGGCTTCACTGTCGTGGAAATTCCATACAGGGTCACTATGAGTTGGAATTGACTCCACAGAATACAACCATCATCCCTTTATTCGGAGTCCAGGTGTGGTGCTCAGGAGAATCATTGGACTGCTAATTAAAAGGTCTGGTTCAAGCCTTGCTATGAGTCAGAACCGAATGGATGGTACTAAGTCCATAATATTTTCCAGCTGTTTAATCTAGCTTCTCTTTTAATACCAATATTTTGGTACATACTTGGTCCCAATGATGTTTCTACCTCTTCACCTTGCATACCCTCTTGAAAATAAAATTTAAACGTTAGATAAATTTTCTAGTCTCAGGGTCTCATTAGGTGCCGTCAAGTCAGTTTCGACCGAACAGCGACCCTATGCACACCAGAAACTAATCACTGCAGCTACTACGTCAGTTTATCTCCTTGAGGGCCCTTCCTCTTTTCTGCTGAACCTCCACTTTATCAAACTTGATGTCATCTACAGAGTCCCTCCTGGTAACACGTCTGAAAGTATGCAAAGTCTTCACCATGCTTGCTTCTCAGGAATATTCTGGCTGTACTTCCTCTAACAGATTTGTTTGTTCTGGTAACCCCTAGTACTTATAATAATCTTCAATGCTAATTAAAATACATAAGACACTTCTATGGTGGTGGTGGCAGTGTGCTGTGGAGTTGGTTCCGAGTCATAGCGACCCTGTATAGCGTTTCCAATGCTGTAAATCTTTTTGGGAGCAGAAAGCATCTTTCTCCTACTGAACAGCTGGTAGTTTTGAACTAAAGACCTTGAGGTTAGCTGCCTGACTCATAACTACTACGCTACGTTCCTTATTCACTGTCCAACTTTCACATGTATGTGAGTCAATGAAAATACCATGGCTTGCTCAGGCCATCTTAGTTCTCAAGGTGTAGGAATATGTAATAATTACTTTCAGGCAGTGTGCGATCAAATGTGACATTTTTGGTCATGGAGGGTTTTTTTATTTTTAATGGTCATGGAGGTTTGAAAGTGATTTCTGATTTTGAAATTGTTAATGTGCTTATCCTTGGTGGCATGCTAGATGTTTCTCAACAGTACAAATTTACCATGACTGAGCCATAAGAGCAAAATTAGTATATGTGCTAGCACATTATCTGAAGATTTAACAGTGGGGAAATTAACAAAGCAGTTGTAAAGTTTGATTATTGAGGTCAAATTTGGAATGGAAGAATGAGATTGGAAATAACTATTTGCAATTTAACTCTTCCCAAAATCAGCAGAGCTAGTTGTTAGGATAGTACTAACACATCAAGAATTCTTCTCAGACATTTGTTGATATAACCAACTAAGTTACCTTTTTAAGAAAATGATAAGAAATTAAATACTAGCTTTACAGTCTTAATCTCATCAAAGTAATCTAAATATTTTACTTTAAAGTCTGTATTAGTGAAAAATAGAATTGGTTATTAAAGTTCTCCTTGACAAATTTCTTTAAATACAGTGTGACACTATGTTCAAGTGCCTAACTTGAAGTTGTTATGACCCACAGTTGAATGCCATTACATTGTCAAAACAGGTAAAGATCTTTCTGGTATACTCTACTTTTAGCTAAAATAATCTGCTATCAGCATTGATACCCTTAGTTCCATGTCATTGTTTGGATCTGCTTGAATGTCTGGCAGTTTTTTGGCAATGTAATGCTTCAAGTATTTTTGAGTTATCTTCAATAAAACTTGTGTGTTGTATTGATGATACTGTGTGACAATTTGCATTCTGTTGGATCATCTTTTGTTTT